TATATATATATATATATATATATCACACACACATATATATATATATATATATATACATATATATGTATATATGTATATATATATATATATATATACAAAATGTTGATCAAGATTGCGTTATGTATATATATATACATGTATATATATTCTAAAGGTATGGAAATGGGTGTGCACGTACACATACTTAATTAATCACACGTGTATATATTTTCCTTTCTAAATTTTTCTCTGCGCACCACATCTCGTCTTCTTCAGTGGTGTACATAATATTGAGACGAATAAAGAGACTGCCGAGAAAGGCCTCAGGCACATGCGTTACGCATCAGCCGCGTATGGTTGGAAAATGATCAATAAACTCTTCTTTGACCTTGAGATAGAATCAACTCCGGTTGGCAACATAGCTGTTTTGAATGCTGAGGTGAGGTTTCTATTTTGGAACATGTTTGCAGTTCTACTTATTCATCATGACATCTAGTTTGTGAACGCTTCGGTGCACTTTTTCAATATTGTCGCGCGAAAATGCGATCTTGGGGTGTGTTCGAATAGGAAACGATGAGGACAACTAAATACAGACGCGTCAAGATGTTAAGTATATGCTCATGCAGTGTGTGTGGATTTGCTTCCAATTCCGTATTCTGAGACGGACAGGTGATATTTTGCTCAAGTACGACGACCAATTTCTCTGAAAAAAATCGTATCGATTCGCTGTATTCATGTTCCATTTGTAGAGGACCTGTATACGTTCGGCACACTCATCTCCGACTGATTCTGTTATGACTCTACCTTACCTATAGATGCTCAAAACGCACACTAAAATCCCAGTGGAGGATTTGATCATGTATCAGTGGGATAGCGACAACGTGTTCCTGCCTGCCCATTACTTGGCAGTGGATAAGGCGTACAAGACAATCGTCGTGGTAAGTTCTGTGTTAAAAGACCATAGCTTGGGGTTATGCCCACAATGGGAACTGCAGAGCTGTTGTGCTGAATTATGATTTTGGAGTCATACACATGAGGGATCATCTGAGTTGCTGCTTTGGTTTTGTGATGATATTAGAATATGTTGGAAGAAGGTATGACATGACACAACATGAATGGTGGTCATCCGGTATGTATTTCAAAGTGCTAATCGGCGCTATGTCTTAGCTTGTGCTTGTTTGTGATAAAATGATAAACTTATTGTAATGGCTTTTTCTCATCGCACCATATTATATCTGACACAGGCTATCCGAGGTACTATGGATATAGCCGATGTAATAAACGACTTGGTCTGTGAATACGTTACATATGACGGAGGGTAAGTCAGTCAGTACCAACCAACGTGGTCTAAGTGGCGCTACTTCTATGGGGCTGGCTGTGTAGCTATAATTAAAGATAGTTAGGAAAGTGTGAATTTTGAATATTTTGTGTATTAAGTCGCACTACTTCGTTTCAGTCACTTCTTTCGGCACAGGATTGATAAAAAATTGTACGGTTGCATACGATTCACGTATATAGTGAATAAAACACACGGGTGCTATTCATCACACGCCCACCTTACCCAGCGTCTGTCTCACCTCCTTATAAACAGTGAAACACATTCAGGGTTCTTGCTCTGCGCACAGGGCATCTATAAGAATGTCAAAGACGACTTAATCGAATTGCACAAGAAATATCCCGAGTACGAAATCTCCGTTGTAGGCCATAGCCTTGGTGCCGGGACTGGTAAGTAGCGTGCGGATGCCTTGTCCTTGTGTATATACTGCTTTTGCAAAGCATGTCAAAAGACATATTGTCTGGAAGTGTCTTATAGGTTATCGATCTCGGCCTTGCTGCCTGCTGCTTTCACTCTGGTATGGGTGAACCCCTTCGAATTTTTACGTTAAAACTTACAAAATGCATCAAATTTAGCATCAAATCTATGACTCGTGTAGTGGAGCTTTTCCTATTGCGATAATGCGCCATCATGTGTATTTACTCAATTTCAACCAAATGGGCGCCCACTCAAAATTATATACTCATGTCATCTTATTACAACCCATCGCTCGTGTATGATGCGATACGATTCGGTTGCATTCTGTGATCTTCAGCAACTTTACTCACGTGTTTAATTGACGTTGAGAATGAGGGCTTCAATCCGCACTGGTATGTATGCCACCAGAGTAGTCAATTGGTGGCGCTACAAAGTGTCTTTGAGCCAATTGTATATGTGGCGTTAACTACACACTACTTTGCGCTAGATACAAGCACAAGAATATAATCTTTTGGTGTGGCTCTTTAGGTTCGGTGAATGGTTGCAGGTCTTTATTGTTGTACAGTATAATCATGTTCGATTGCAGCTAGCATCTAATAGCACTACAGTGACAATTTGCCCTTTTGTTTATGATTGCCTGGTATCTTAGCGTTTCTTTGTAAACTATGCCTATGCTTGAATTATAACATGTACGCTTGATAATCACGAGTACGATGTAATTGCGTCTGTGTCATACATCCGAACCTTGATCTAAAACTCTCACGGCCGTTTTAAACAGTTACGCGTTCGGTCCGCCCGGTATATTCGATTTGGAAACCGCCAGCAGTGATCGCATGAAGAAGTTGGTGACTTCCTACGTTTGCGTAAGTGACAAATGTTGTCGGCAGTTATTTTCCGTTTCTGAGCACTATATAACGAGCCGCGTCTGATGTAACAGTAGTACTAGCAGGCTGTGTTGGCAGCTTCCCTACAACGGGCCTACCTGTCCGGGTATTGAACAGGGTAATTGATTCACTGGTGTGGTGCTGTTTTTATAAGATCATTGCTTTCACTGCCTTGTTGGTGCAGGGTGACGATATAGTCTGTCGACTGTCACATGGGCACATGCGAGAGACGAAGTCAGCCGCCGCTTGGTTCGTAAGGAATAAGCCAAAGAATGCGGCCGTAAGTTGTGTGTACTATCCTTCGCTTTCATTTGTGTTTTCGACGAGGCGTGTGGGTATTTTGCAGGCACTTCAATTCAGACGCACGGCTCATGTGTGCTTTTTTACACTCATAGTCATGCTCGAGCTGGAGGTATATATTAAATACACTCATACGTTAGCACAGGATAGATATGAAGGTATTAACGAAATATTTCGCTACACGGTTGGTACTGTTATTCGATGGATTGTGGGGATTTACAGGTGGTGACGAATTTGATCAAGGAACAATTGCTACGGTTCAAAACGGACCCTCCGCCTGAGAATGAAATGGTCAGTCAACTTAATTCTGAGATTTATGTTCCATTTTTGAATAGAACTTGGTGTATTGCTTCCCTTTATATCTCGTGTGTGTTTTGCGCGTTTCTGATTGATTCTTATACTTGTCACGTCCATATCAAGGGCGAGATAGCGAGGCGTATATGATGTTGTACTTCGCCACACCAACTCAACCGTAGTATCCAACGAGTTTCTGGTCCTAACCCTTCGAGTTCACTCACCCTCGATATTCAACGATACGGTGCTTATAGCGATATGTGGGGTATAGTTTCGCAAATTGCACGACAACTCGATAAAGTACAACTTAGCTTCTGCTTATTGAGCTTTCATGTGCCTCCTGGTCATTTGAGTTTGAACATAGTCTATACGAGGCGAATGAGCAGTTTATGCGCTGCTGGTTACGAGTATCCCTCTAAAGACGCCTATTCACAAACATTTGCAACTCGCAAAAGATACACACATTTAGATCAGCATTTTTTTCTCTCATCATCTAAACTCGTGCTATTTTTCCAACATTCCCTCCAGAAAAAGTTGGACCCTTCAAAACTGACATACTACCACTACCCGAAGTTATATCCTGTGGGCGACATCAAATATCTCAAAATGAAGGTTCCTAGTACGACTTCTAATCCCTCCAGCACGGACGATCTCATAAACACTGCAAACGATGCCGTTAAACAAAGAACCGCCCAGCAAAACGCCACCATCGACAAATTCGGTGATGGTGATGCCACCCCAGAACCTGAAAAGTCCGATGTTGAAGTTTCAGGTGTGTAGGCTTGGGAATTGTTTCAGAATATTTTGCGGTCCGATTGCTGTCAATCTGCCTTTGAGGGGTAAAAACCCAAGTATTTTTATTATTATCTTGTAGCCCGTCACTTGCGTTTTACAACATATTGTGCACGTTCTCATACACACAGGATCCCGAGGCCGAGGCATCTTCGCTCGTATTGGATATTGGTACACGAGCTTCTTTGCCAAGTTTGGCAAGCGAGCGACAAAGATCGACAAACATTCAGGTGTGTAAAATCTAATGGGTGATATACATCCTGAGTGATTTTCACTTTGAGTCTGAACTCAACGATTTGTTTGCGTGTACCCATATCCGAGCTATTGCGTATTGTCGGTACGAGTCCGCCTTATTTACCTTTTCTACTATTTGTCGGCTTCCAGGTGAGCGGGTGGATGTTGTAGATATCGTGGTTATTGGAAATGTTGAGAGTAAAGATTTCGGGCAGATGGTTCTGTCGCGCAACATGCTCATGCACCACATGCCGTGGGTATACGAGCAAGCACTGATCAAGAGTATAGAGAGTATCAGTAGTAATACCAGTAGTGAGAGTTCACAGCCCAGCGAAGAAGGGCTGGACAAGGAAGGAGTTGAGGAACTGAAAGAGGTTGCTAAGGATGCTATAGAGAATTGAGTCCATGCAGGAGAATCGGCTCGCATGGGAACGACTCCGGATCAGTCATGCTTAATACGATGCACTGCACCAAGCAAGGTAGCTATAATTTACGAAACACGGGCGGTAATTGATGGGTCGAGAACACTGTGTGGAAGGAGTTCGAGACATCTAACATGTACAAGACGCTGCAACGCTGATATGTGTCAGATGTGCATTTGTATTGCAAAATGGATATTGATGTTGAGAAGCTCATTATACCATATCATCGAATCGGATATCGGTACGTTCATGATAACGCACGGGAAATGCTACCAGCAAAGTAGAGAATAATTCATAGAATACGACTGCTTTGTTGTCGAAATAGTTCAACAGATTCGTTAGAACGGTCTGGATGTGGGAGACACCCAATTTGAGGTCAACTGAACTGGACCATGCACGAGAGAATTGGAGGGGCAAAAGTCTGAGCGCGAGACAGCATATGCGTCTCTTGAGGGATGACTCATATCAGAATGTGACGATTGTCCTGGAATCGAACAGGAGCAAGAGCACCACGCGGTAGACCATTTGTACGTCGTACTGCGGTAACATGGTATGTCTACGATCATACGTTTTGCGGCGGCAAGAGGTGGGAGCGGATACCATTGCATCGACGGGTAGAGGTAAGTAGCGATGCTCCTCTGAGATTGAAGGGCGCCGAAAATCAGGCCGAGGGTACGATACTCCATTACTGGTACAGATACTCCCGACGCAGTCATCGTGCACAGCCTACATAGAATTTGTAACTTGTTACTGACTCGCCTTGGAGTCCAGGCCGACTCGAGATACCAAATCATGTATACCGGCGAAAGGTGAGGTCTCCGCTGTCAGCTTGAAACTTGGTAAGCTCGTCTCGCAATCACTATTTGAGTAGAATTTCAGTTGTGTGGGCATATATAATACAATTTATGACCCATGGAATTTTGCAATTTGATTAATTGGAGGGAGGCAACCGCATTTTGCAGATTATCAATCGCAAAACCAATTTAAGGTGCGAATATATGATGAATGATTTCTTTGCAGCATGACAGTCCGGATTCACGATCAGGCACTGTTGTACTACGCCCAGCAGAAGTGATAATTAGTAAATAAGAGCCGTTGGCAAAATATGCCTATATCAGCTGGCAAGGCGCGCTGTAGCCTTGGTATTCAATATGATCCAGTTGAAAGATGCACAATAATATTGCCGGGCACCTTATTCAACTGCTTAGTGTTGTACCACAAGACACCGGCCTGCCAAATTAATATCACTAATAGCACTCTTACGTAGTTCTCCCATATGCAGTCTTCGTGAGTAAAGTACCGAAATACTATTAGAAATACAACGAATATCGTTTCGCTTTATTCTTGTACCACACCCTCAAAGTTCTTGATGTACTCTGTGCGGAAAGCTCCCGTTTTCGGTAGAACTATAAACTGCAACAAGCCTCCTGGAATGGCGAGACGCGGCGTTTGCAATACGTACAACAAAGGATTCTCCTTATTAACTTGCACCAGCCAAGCCTTGTCCGTCTTGGGATCAGTAGTGCCGTAGTAGAATTCGACGTTGGTAGGGTTATAGTTGTGGCTGGGATCCCACGGAGCCGCCTCCGCCAAAATGGCCTGGAAATATGTAAGCAACTTAAACATGAGTATACAATCACCTGTATGCACGATGAGGAGTAGGATATCAGTACGGTATTTACAGTCTGAGATAGCCACAGCTTGTGAGAAATAAATATATCGAGTCGTATATAGTACGAGAGCAAAGATCGAAGACGCGTACTGCTTCAATTAAGCTCTGAATTCGTCCAACAGCTTCAGCATAGCCTGCAACTACAACAGGCGTGTATTAAGCAACAATATCACACGGCTTTCGCTTAGCTTTAGTCATGCTTCGCAATCCTAAAACTCAAAAGCCATACATAGCATTCTTGCTGCAAACGACAAACATACCTTAGCGTGGTCCATCAAGCTGGTCGTCTCATGGAACGACTGGATAAAGTCGCTCTGGTTGGATTCGGGGTACATGAAGTACACGGGCCATGCCAAATGATCTTCCTCTCCTTCCTGAGCCGCTTTGATAAGCGTACATTTTCCGGTGCTAGAATTCTCAAACCATTCACTAGTGTGCAATGCCCTATCAGAATTTTTATCTTCGGCTGTGGTGTCGGCTGAGCATAGTTTGATACCGCGAATATTCACAGCGGCCACGAGCTCGCGTAGTTCCTTTGCCACTCGCTTGTTCTCCTTCTCTTGCTTGCGGTACATGCGCTCGTATTTCCCCTTCTCGGTCATGATCTCCTTCCTCAGTTTGAGCATCGCGTCGTTTGCCGGCTCGCCACTCAAGCCTTTGTCCACCCATGTTAATGCCGTTGTATACTGCCGCAAAGCCAAATAAGCCTTAGCTGCACGGAAGTGTATCTTGGGTCTGAAGTCTACTACCACAGGCAGCTGGGTTGCTGTTTTCTCGCCTTTTGTGTCTTCGTTGGTCACCTCCTCGATCTTTGCGCCCATATTCTCTTTATTATCGACCTCGCCCTCTTCTCTCGCTACAGGCAAGCTGTTCTTGATTTCCAACGCAGCCTCCGCATCCTCGCAATCGTTTATACACATGCGATAATTACCCAGCGATAGATTGCACATGGATCTATTCATATATAGGGTCACCAATAAGCCCATCTCTTCGCTTGTCTTGGCCTCTTTCATGATAGTTCCTATTCCCATGGTGTATTTCTCCACAGCATTCCTGTAGTGCTTCATTTTCTCGGTCATCACCATTCCATCATCTAGCGCCTTGCCCCCAACTGACTTCTTGGTCCCCTTTGCACCACCTACAACCAGCTTATTACCAGCCTTAAAAGCATCATTTCCTTCTTTCTTATAGTATTCAGCAACTTCTATTGTTTCTCCATCATCAGTGAGGATTGCAGCCAGTGCTGCCAGATTCGGATTATTCGCCACTTGCTCTGCCGTGGGTGTCTCTCTCATGAATAAAGGCACTGCTTGCACCTGATCCATAGTAGTTCAGGATGCCGGAGATTTAGGTGGACAGCGACAGGAAATAACGAGTCGAAAGGTTGCTCGCCCACATATTCCAGACTGTTAAACAAAATAAGTAGCATATAGGTCTTGCTCGTGTAGCATGCAACTATGCAACACATAAAATCGTATATAATAGAAAATGAAGGAGTATCAACCTAAACTAGAACAGTCACCGGAGAGAAAGAAGACCACGACTCTGGGCGCTTAATTCTTCGAGACTAGTAGTATAAAAATGATTGGAACAGATATACAACCAAAAGCAATCAAAACATGTATTTCTATACACATACATGTGTGAGCTTGTGTGTGTGTGTGCGTGTGAGTATATATATATATATACATATATATATATAAATACATAGACACAAACAAACACAAACAAACACACACACACACACATATATATAATTATAGATATACTAATATATCAATATTTATATATATATATATATATATAATATATATATATATATATACTACCTATATATATATA